AGTGTGACCAGTGCTCCTACCGTTGTCACCGCATGGATCAGCTCAATAGCCACAAGTTACGACATCAGGCCAAATCACTCATGTGTGAGATCTGTGCTTATGCCTGCAAGCGCAAATATGAGCTTCGCAATCACATGTTGGCCAAACACTCTGGAGAGGAGAAACAGCCATCCGTCTATAAGTGCAAGTACTGCACATACACTACCTGCTACAGGCAAGCCCTTCAGAACCATGAGAACTGCAAACACACCAAGCTGAAAGAGTTCCGCTGTGCGCTCTGCTTCTATTCCTCCTTCAGTAGCATCAGCCTCTTCCTGCACAAGAGGAAAGCTCATGGATACGTGCCTGGGGACAAAGCATGGCTGGAGAACTACGCTGCAAAGGAGAAGGAGAGGAATTCTACCGAGTTCTTGCAGGACTTTTACAATAAACCCTCAACAGCCAATGAGCAGTCTGAACCATCCACCTCTGAAGGACATCCACCTTCTGAAACAGAACAATCCAATATTCCTAACTCAGCAGATCACAAAGAATCCGTAGTTGGTAGACAAACTGTGCATTCTGTGGATGTTTTCGATGTTGTTTCTCGAAAGGTTGTCAATGAAGGTGTTTCAGACGATCCTCCATCTGGGAACGATCCTGAGGAGTACTGTACTCTTGTTTTAACAACACTCTCAACGGCTGACTATCAGAACCCCTCTTTGCAAAATCAAGAAGACAGTTGTGCAAAGAAAACCCCAAGCTTGTCCAATTTAAACTCCAATGTCTCTGACACATCCCAAGAGAAAGCATACGTCTCTACATCTTCCTCAGAGGAAGACAATGTAGCTATGGCAGATGCAGAATGTGAACAAAGTGACTTAGACGAGAATGATAGCAGTCAACCAGTTGAACCTGGGGGGTGTCAAACACCTGAGGTGGAGAATGAAGGTGGACCAATGAGTTCCACGTATCCAGCTGAACAAAATCAGCCATTAGAATCTGAGATCCGTCTAAAAGCTATGAAGAAGCACGACAAGGACCAGGCAGAGGCCATGGTTCTTGAGGGACGGGTGCAGATGCTTGTTGTGCCAACTGAAGACGTTTATCGTTGCGACAAATGCTCTTATGTAACCAGTAAGGAGACCGCTTTGAAGTACCACTGCCAAGCTTTGTGTAAAGGTAGGATAAAGGGACACAAATGCCAAGCCTGTGGTGCACAGTTTAAACAGAGGCGAGGCCTTGAAAGTCACCTTGCAAAGAAGTGCCCAGCCATTCCACGAAAAACAAGGACATTTGTAGGAAATTCAAATAAAGCAGAAGACAACTCTACTCTAGGCCAGGAAGGATCCAAAAAACTAGATGAGGAAACAAATTCCAATCAGACAGAGCTTCTATCTTCGCAAAATAGTCTTTCCTCGGATTCAAGCGATCAGGAATTTGATCAGCAAGAACAAGAAGATTCATCCAGTGAATCAGGACAGCAGCAAAGCACAATTCTGAAAAAAAAGCTTTTGAAAGTTAAACTTTCAAACAAGTTTTCTAGTAACAAACAAAGAAATGTCCAACTGCCGAAGTCCCTTTTAGCTAAAAAAGATGGGAAATTTGAATGCAAGCTGTGCACTTTTTCATCAGTCAGGCTTGCAACAGTCGAACGGCACCTGTCAACCTGCAGACAAATCATGAGTCAGATCATTCCAGAAGTGGAGGATGAGGGTTCTAGCAAGTTGGTCAAAGGAAAAGAGGACTTGGCGGAAGACCACAATGGCAGAACTGGGAAAGTTTCTGAGAAACATCCAATCTTCTCTTGTCCAAGCTGCGCATTTAAGTGCAATCAGAAAAGGGCATTAGACAGTCATGAAAAGAGAGGCTGCCTGAAGCCAGACGAAGTCCAATGCGCCATGTGTTCATTTGTAGCCAAATCTCAATTGTCTATGACCCGTCACATCCTGTATGCCCATGACAAAAAGAAGAGTGGTGGTGCTAAACGTTTGCAATGTCAGCAGTGCACCTTCACCTGTAAACAGGACCGATGCATGACGCAGCATATTGCGCTCAAACACAAAGGCGCACAACCCCACCAATGTCGGTTTTGTCCTTTTAGCACCACAAGGCGCTATCGCTTGGAAGAGCACGAGTCTCTTCACACAGGAATCGGCCGTCACAGCTGCGATATGTGCGACAAAACCTTTGGGGCTGTGACCAAATTGCGCCAGCACAAGATGCGCATCCACGACAAGCAGCCGACACACTTCTGCTCACTCTGTGACTTCAGTGGCTACACGCTTGACGATGTAAGACGTCACAATCTCAGGTGCCACACAGGGGAGCTTCACCACGCTTGCACTCATTGTGATGCTCAGTTTAGTACAGAGGCTGCATTAAGAAACCACTGTAAACGTGTGCACCAGCTCCAGGTTAGTTTTGCATGTAAGCAGTGTGACTACACATGTGGAAGTGAAGTCACATTGAAGACTCACCAAGAGAGCAATCACCTTCAGGTGAAGTGCAACACCTGTAAGGAGTCTTTTCAAACAAAGGAGAGCCTTGTGATACATCAAAGAAGCCACCTGGCACATCAGTGTCAGTTGTGTCCCTTTGCTTCCAAAACAAGGCAGCTGTTGGCACAACACCTTCTGAGCGAACACGAGGACGGATCTCCGGAGGACAAGCCTCTCAAGTGCAGCTCGTGTCAGTTTGCTTGTCGGCATCAGCTGGTGTTAGAGCAGCACCTCCGTTCACATGGAGGCAAGCGCCTGTACAAATGCACAGACTGCGAGTATTCAACAAGAAACAAGCAGAAGATCACGTGGCACATTCGCATACACACTGGAGAGAAGCCGTACAGCTGTGAGCAGTGCAGTTACACCTGTACTGATCCGTCTAGATTGAAGGTACGTTTACAGTATGTTATTTATAAGATAAAAGTGCTGTATAAGAAGCCCTTAGGGCAATGTGAGAGAGGTCTAAAACGGTGTTCTGTCCTGAGTTGATGACGTGAGAATAGGTGATAAAAGGTTTTGCCCGAATACTTTATTTAACGTTCCTTATATTCTTTCATCTGTAAAAGAGGTGGGCGAAATGTTTGTTGTGGTAATACTCACTGTGGCCACATGAAGCTTAAGAGCTCCAAAACATCATGTTCTAAATGGGACTAAAAGCATTTTCTTGCTAACTCAAAATATACATTATATACCTTGTGTAATGATTATATTCCTCTATACTATAATATGAAATTCACTGTATTTCCCAAAACAGAGTGAAAATGATATATACTTTTTTAATTTGTCTATGTTTTATAATAACTTCTACCACAGCTTCACATGCGGGTTCACCAAGAAGAGAAGAAGTACCTTTGTCCAGAGTGCGGCTACAAATGCAAATGGGCGACTCAGCTGAAGTACCACATGACCAAGCACACAGGTATCAGCAGGACATAAAGCTTGATGTTATATGACTTAATCACTTTTGAAAATCATGCAACTACTTAAACATTCCACATTGGCTCTGTCAGCAGTTGTTTTGTTTACGCAAAAACACATTATTATTGTAGGGCAGGATATTTCTGTAAATCATGATGATGTTCAGTAAACTTAAGCCTATACTTTTAACACATAATATCTTTGCTATCATTTTTTGTTGCATGATTTTCACCTGTATTCAAGTCTTTTAATCACTTCTTTGAATTCCATTTTGTAAGTGTAGATTACAGATTTAGTTTTGAGCATTTAATGCTGAATAACTTTTATTTTTCTATTTCAGGGGACAAGCCTTACGCCTGTGATGAGTGTGACTACCGCACTAACCGAGCGGATGCTCTCCGTGCTCACAGGGACACACAGCACTGCGACCTGCGGCCCTATGTCTGCGAGAAATGTGGCAAAGCTTTCAAGACTAGTTTTATCCTGAAAACCCACCAGCGCCAACACAGTGACGATCGGCCTTACACGTGCGGCTTGTGCCAGAAGGCCTTCCGGTGGCCAGCAGGTCTCAGACATCACTACCTCTCACACACCAATCAGCAGCCTTTCAGCTGCCGTCACTGCTCCTACAGAGCCAAACAGAGGTTCCAGGTGGTCAAACATTTGCAGAGGCACCATCCGGAGATGCCAGTGGAGCAGGGGGTGGAGAGGGACTCTGGAGCAGTAAGCCTAACCATTAAGGAGGCCTTGCAGGGGACACTGGATGAGAAAGTAAAACAAATGGTGGAAGAAAAAGGAACAACCGACGAGGAACAGGAAGTAGATGAAGAGGTTTTACAGAGAAAGAAACACAGTGAGACAAAATGCTGATGAGAGGGCACAAAATATGGAGTTGTCATGTGAGGTCTCTACCAACTAAAGGAACAGCGACATAACTGTCGTACTGTACAAGGCTAATAAAACACATTAGTACAAAATACGTATAGGCAGTCAGTAGATATGGTCACCGTGACGTCTCCCATTGGTTTGTGAACTACTGTTTTGAAACCCCAGGTTTGCCTTTCGCATTTTATTTATTTTTGCCAAGAGGGACCATATTTGGATAAGAGAGTGGAGCTGGGGAGGCATACGCATTGTTACGCTCTATCATGATTGGACAGTCACCCTAGTAGTGGCTTGTCAATCACAAGGTAGCACCGCCCTAAAACATACACTGTCTCTTGTTTGTTTTACTCTAAATATGATCCTCATTTACAAAATACACATCATGGTGTATTGAAGAAGACTTGAAATTAGAGATTGAATGTTTTCTGAGGAAATAAATTAAGTGAGCCATTTTCGCATAGACTTCTATACAATTACACTTTTTTTTTTAAATGATGAAATTAATACAAATAATTGTTATCGCACTTACTAGGCCAACTCTAGTCAGTACATGTTATCAAGTGAGAGTGTGTATTGAAAGTAAGTTGTATTTGTGAAAAAATAAACCGTCTTTTTATGAAGTCATTTGATATTTTCTTGTAATAAAGAACTATTGTAGATAAAGTAAATAAATTACCTTGAACAATGAATGTGTCATAAACATTTGCAGAGGACTGAATGTTGAACAATTCAGGAAATGTATTGCATGTTTTTACTGGCCTATACATCTACAATAACATCATTAACAACATTACCTTGTGGGAATTGTACATTAGTGAATAGAAATAACTCAAGTCAATCTCAGATTAACCAACATGATGCTAAATTGTAAGTCATTTATAACATTAGGTTAATAATACTGGTATTTGGCAGTTTTTCACATTCCATTATTACACTTTCAGTTATTTCAGTAGCTCACTTCTGCATACACACTACATGTTAAGGCAGACGTGTATATTTAGATTTTCTAGACATGCAGCACTCTACGTTCCTTTGTTTGCAGACAGCGACATTTTAAAAAGCTCTTAGGCTACTTTCATAAAAAGTTAAATAGACAATTGCACACATTTGCCATAAGAACAGGAATATATACACAATTCATTCAGAACATGTCTATAATACTGCAAGGTATCTTTGGATCTTTAGTAATACTCTAATTGCTCGGCAAATTAGGTAAAGGAGATGCATCAACACTATTTTATAATGATACTAATTTAAATACAATTTAAATAAAGTTCTCTATTAAAGAAATCTAATAGATTATTTTATGGAGTTATGCTGTACACAAAGTCTGATTTCTGACACACTGATTGCTTTTTTAGGTTATCAAAAACCGATAAAACGAATAACTTTTCTGTTCCCCGACCGTTATCCTACTTCCTCCAGGCAAATATCCAATAACAGATTAAAGTTTGATGAAGTTTTTCTCTTGCTTCCCCAGCCAAGACCTCCACCTCCGACTTCATATCCTCAGATCTGACTTCTTCTTGTGAGTTCTGAGATGCTGATGTTGACGAAGAGGGAGGAGGGAGGGATGGCTGTTCCATCTTTAGAGAGTAAATGTATATGACGATATCCTGCAAATGGAAAGACATCGAGAAGAATTAGGTTTAGAAAAAGCAAAAACAGGTGTTGAGTTCTACTTAATGTGGCATTAGTCGTGAATATTCTATGGGATCTCAAACTTTTAAATGACATCACTATGTAACACTCCTGCTTCTATTGGCTAGCGCTTAAACAGATTGTAAGTGATAAGTTAAGGGGCGGGACATCTCTAAGTGGTTGACCAATCACAACAGAGCCGGACAGATAACCAATCAGAGCAGACTGGGCTCTGGGTGTGAAAAGAGGTGCTGCAGCACAGGCAGTGTGAGAACAAATAATAAATAAATCAAGTGGAAAATAATTTAAAAAAAAAATTATTTAAAATAAATGATGGTTTTATTTTAACTACACACTTTGTTAAATACTAATTATAGAAGCTGAATATAAAATTAAAACTGTCACCCTTGCCAAAAGCCAAATCCATGATGACAGCCAAAATCATCAAAATGTAAAGAACAACATTTTCCAAGTGAGGCATAAAGGTGAATGAACACCGCAGTGAGTTGTAACTCTGGGGGTTTCTGTTTCGGCTCACCTGCTTGTATGCTCGTAAACGGTAGAGTGAACTGTCCCATGAAGTCGTTCCTGGATGTCTTGTCGTAGTCCTCCACCTCAAAGCGAACCAGGGCCAGCTCAGGGGTGTGGATGACAAAATTTAGAGTTTCATTCCACACCGGGTTAAAGCCTGCAAGCAGAGGGCAGCAGAGGAGGGAGTATGACCGACTGGGATGTGACTCATCATATCATCAAAACCATCCATGTTAATACAATATATGTTGTTTCTGTTTTCACCATTGTTGTTTATGTGACTTGTCTCTTCTTTGGCCTGGTCCTGTGGCACTCCATAGATCTCCACTCTGACCAGGGGGTCTACTATAGAGCCCTCTTTCTGGTTCACCTTTGGTAGCTGCTGCCCGCTGATCACCTGATAAACACACACATATTCACATCAGATACTTTGCTGTTCTAGCACAGGAGAACCTTTTGCACTGTGTCTCTCCTGCTTTCCAGTCGTTTTCTGACAGATTCTGCAACCACCTGTCTCACATTAACATACTGACATTACAAGTTGCACAATGCAAACACAAATTGACTAAAGACACTCATGCAGTTTTGAACCTGTATGGATAAGCGCATAGGTGTGTAGCCGGGCCGCTCCTCGGGTTTCTCCGGACTGAACTGAGTGTTGCCGTCCCTCATGAAGGCAGGCTTCAGGACGTAGCCACAGCCGGCGTTCTGAGCAAACAGCCCGTCGTTCAGATCCATCTCCAGACCTGCTGTCTGGAAGTTCAGAGCCACTGTGGGGAAGAAGGGACATAATGGAATTATCTGTGTTCTGATTTTATTTGCTCGCTCTATCACATGATTTACCAGACTCAGAGTCTAGATTACATTACATGTCACTTGTTAGACGCTTTTATCCAAAGTGACTTACATACTCAATACTGTGGACAATCCCCACAGGAGCAATTTGGGGTGAAGTGTCTCAGGGACATAACGACATGCTGACTGCAGTGGGACTCGAACTTGCTATCCCCTGATTCAAAGTTCAGCACACTAAGTTCAGCGCACTAGTCCACTGAGCCACAGCCTCAGCCAAAGATAACAAAGTTCTTCCAGTGGAGGCAAAACTTGTAAATTAAATAATAAAAAATACATATGGCTATATCTGGAGTAATTAAAGTTAGAATAAGCTTCACATTAACAGGCTGCAACATTAAAGTGAAGAAAACATAAATGCATTTATAACTATTATTAAAAAATAAAGTATATATTCTTTGGAAATGGGCCACCCTGCATAATACTTTATTTTACTGTTAATAATTGGTTTGTTTGTGAGACTTTTATTTAAGTGAAACTTAATGTTGATGTGACTGTGGTGCACTTTTAACACTGTATTAAAGGAATACATTTTCCACAAAATGACCCATTCTTCCCTCTGAGGCACCTTGAATTGTTAAAGAAAACTTCGTTTTTTTCCTGTGTCTCCGAAGAATCCAAAAATATAGAAAATCCTTGAGGAATTGAAGTGCCTAACACAACCTTTGCTATTTAATCCAAGTCTCATTTATCCAATCTTATGCTCAGCACTTCCCAAACACATGCAATGTCACTAAAACCTTACTATATAACACACTTTCACAAAGAGTACGAATAATTTAAGATAACACCGGGTGAAAAAATGTTATATAAATGATTTTGAGGGGTTGAAGTTTTCCTTTAAGACTGGAAACAGGACATATCAGTGAGTTTAGAGGCAAGGTACCTCCCCCCCCCCCTCACCTATCTGGCAGCCCACGCTCCACATGTCCTGCGGGTTGTAGTTGGAGGAGTCCGTCCTCCGGCCTGCTGGGTAAATCCTGCTCAGCTGCCGTGTGTGGTACTGCACAAAATCTGTCCCTGAAGAGAGCATAAAATATGTATAACGTATTATAGTAACATCAAGGATATAACATGCACTTAAGCTGTTCCCGGCTGTTCCCTCATGATGGTGGTACCTGTGTCTTTAGCAAGCCTCTTGGCCTTGGACTCGGAGAATGAGGACATCTCGGAGCATTTGCCGTATGAGCGGGCGTACTCAAAGCCGTGGAAGTGAACACTCTTACAGTAAACCACCAAGTCTGACAGCTCCTTAGACAGTTTGGCCTTGGATTTCTGCAAAATGGGAGAATACAATTCCAAAAAAAGTCAATGATTAAATCTGAAACCCAAAACTTCAAACATCAACAGCATATATACTGTATGGTGAGCAGTGGCCTCAAGGTTGGGATGTAACCCTGTCAATTAGGCCAGTAATTAAATTACATTTTTAGTTGTCAAATTAAATTGCAACTTATTTAAAAAGTTTAGAATTACATAATAAGTACTTATTTATCTGTTTAAATAATAACTAAAACTTCAACAAAATAATTGAAATTGGTTTTGAAAAATATAAATAAACGAATGATTCAAAAATAATTTGTCCTTAAATTCAACAAAACTCTCAAATCACTCAGTAAGGGCAATGATTACACAATGATATAGCTATTAGAAACTAAATATATTTCATATATTTATTATATAAATGCTTTTGCTGAATTCTATTATTTTCAAGATAATTTCAGCATGCATGGGAACAGAGTCCAAGTTCTTTAGAAGAGATTCTTTAGAATATTACATCAATTCTTTGGACAACAATACCATTTTTGTGATGTCTCAATGTCTGTTGTTACCTCGATTTGACTTGAATTAGATTCACATTTTTCTACAAAACAAAAGAAATAGACTTCCTGTAGTTCACATCATATCAGTTAAGAATTGTACATAAAGCTGATGATATGTATCAATGTTTTTAGTTTACATTATAAATAATTGCTAAACTGATCCAGATTGATGGACACATTGAGTTGTTAGCTGTTCTATTTACATTTGGTACAAATAACTAGGTAATTTTTACACAAACTATGATCACATTTTTGGTTGCAGTTTTGTTTAGCTGTTGACAAAACGTTCCAACTTTTTTCACACAGTTAAATGTTTCATGTCAGCAGTGGACAATTTGCTGAGTCATTATTATTGAATTACTGGACTGTTAATTACATCGTTAAGAGTAGATCAAAAAACAACTCCACATTAATGTTGCTCAATTAAATTAAATCTGGTTAAAACAATTAGGATTCCTTCCATCTCTCATTACCTCTAATTGAATCGTTATTGCCGTTCATCTCTCACTGCCCATGGGGAATGCTGTGGCTGAATTACAATATTTTCAATATCACTGGCTATAAAACAAATAACGAGGTTTCCCCACAGCTAAGAAGACACATATTGGATGCTGTCTCTCATATCTGTCTTCGTTTCCTGGTTCTTTTCACTATCTCCCTTCTTTCTCTCCAGTCTCGCCACTCCGTCTCTTATGTCCAAACCCAGTTTCCTGTCTCTCTCTACAATCAAGCTCCATTCACTCCTGATTTACTATCACTCTTGATACAATTATCTGTGTTTTTCTCATCAACTATCTAACAAAACACTTAGACTTAAAAAGAACAAAGGCTCTTTCTTAGATTCAAAGAGATCAAGACATCAAAGTGCATCAGAGTTTATAGAAAATCCATAAAGTAGCAATAATACCTTCCCATCGTGGTTCAAAGTCCCAGCTGGTGGTTCCTCTGCAGAAAGGCTCTCAGCTTCATGGTTGGTCATCTCTTCCTCATCGCTAATGTCATCTGCCAGGGTTTCATCGAAACTGCCTTCTGTACCGCTTATTTTCTTGGCTTTCAGCAAAATCTTACCTTTCAGCTCCTGTAAGGAACACCAGGCACAGATTGGTGAGAGCAGTTTGTTAACACACTGTCCTGTATTAGATCCTCGCCTCTTCTTCAATTGTTTTATTATTCTGTTGGTTTTTTTAAATTACTGAGTTGATTTCAGAACTTAATCTAATACAGTTACATAAATAAATCCATTAGTGATAGTTGCTTATGGAGGGATTACAGACAGCAGCCGATGGGGCACAGGCACATGTCAGAAAGAGACTGAAAATGCCCAGAAAAGACTACAAGAAACACAAAAGGAAATACAAAGATACTATCACAACTACAAAGGGACTCAAATTGATTGCAAAAATAAACAAAAAGACGGAAAAAGACCAGAGTGACAAAACAGCAAAATGACCTCGAATACACTCAAAATACGAACAAGAAAACATTAACGTCTACAAAGATACACAAAAAGACTACAAGAGACACAATAGGAATACTAGACTAAGCAAGATAACCTTAAAAGAGACAAAATACCCAAAAGGAGACACATAACCATCCCAGAGAGACACAAACCCACAGAGAGATTTGTAACAGAGACAATAAAAAACGGAAATAAATTAGAGGCTAAACAACTATTTAGTCTTTGTGTCTTTCCATTGTCTGAAGGGGGTTGTGGGATCGTTTGCATGTCTTTGCAAACGATCATTGTCTCATAATCTGCCTATGAATGTGCTGAATTACTGTTGGAATGTGGGATACACCAGCATTATATTGACAGGAAACTAAAATGTCCTAGCATTTAAGTACTTAGTCTTCAGTACCCAGACTACTCATGAAGGTGTTCCATATTCCTGCACTTTGCTGTCTCCGAACTAAATGCAGCAATGCACCTCTATTTAATTGACAATATCCTCACTGGAATACCTCATAGCATTTATTTGCCATTACTTTGAGTTAGCATTGATTGTCCTAAGTGCTGTAATGGAACATTGTTTGGAAGTTCGACAATGGATATGCTTTTAGGATGAGTGGAAGATGGATAGCATGGTGCACACTAACCATTAATTTTTGTAATGTATCGGAATTGCTAATGGCTGGGTATAGTCTGAAAACGTTTCAGTTCTATCAGTGAAACACTGACCCAGAGCAGAATGTTAAAGGTGGGGTAGGTAACTTTGGAGAAACCAGCTCGAGTGCGCTAGAATTTGAAAATACACAGCCGGAAAAAATCTGCCACTTCTTTACAGAGCCCCTCCTCCAACACACGAACGCGCACATGACCAATGAGGGCACGAGATAAGTTTGTGCACAGATGGAAGGCTGACAGGCAGGTAGGCCATCCAGTTATTTTAGCCGGGCCGGCTAAAATGATTGGTCGTGCTTTTTACAGCGCTACGGCTTCCACAGATGACATTTTTTAATGGATTTTTGGTCAAAGCACTTAAGATATTCATTGCTATCGGGATGTTAAGAGCATTCCATGGAATATAACAAAAAGTGTATCTCGAGCCGGTTTCTCAAACTTACGTACCCCACCTTTAACTGAAGCTTAATAAGACTTTAACGTTATAATAATGGAGATGTTTACACTTAAACTGCAATATGAAACAACAAGACAGCCATGGTAGCATCTCTGAAAGGATCAATAGGCTAGATGCTAACATGCCAATGCTAACATCCTCACGAAGACAGTGTTAACATGTTAGCATGATGTTCAGGACGTTTATTGTTTACCCTCTTAGCAGTGGCGGCCGGTCCATAGGGGCGCTAGGGGCGCCGCCCCACCTCTTCCCATATTGAAAAATAAATAAATAAATAATAATTAAAATTAAAATAAAAAAAAAAAAATATGTTTAAAAAAATATATATGTTTTTATTTTTATTTTTAATGAACAAGGTAAATATTATATAATTGGTATCAGTAAAATGTATAATCTACAATAAAATCTCGTTTAAAATTGTGTTACGATGTCTAAAGTTACTGATAAGTCACATGTTTCCTGCCTGGCCTTGCCCATGCACCTTCTCTCGTCTGGGCGCTAAGAGAGGAGCCTTCAACCAGTGCAGCAGCAGCCACCAGCAGCTGACTGTTGCTATCTGTAACGTGTAAACTATGCCGCGAAAATATAATTTCAGCCAATCAGCGTCGTCAAAGATGACGGTCACCGGGCGCCAATGTCAGCGCCCAGTGCAGTCTGTGAGTAGTTTGGACAGTGACTCGTATCCGGTTGACGCAGTAGTTGATGAGGATGGCTTCGTGTGCAGGTGGAGTCTCCGGACCTCGGTCCCCGCCTAATTCTGTTCAAGAGCTAATCTCCAATCCTTTCGAAAGGAGAAGTTTGGCAGATAAATTGTTGCTTAAAGACCTTGCACCGGACCAACCCGATTTGAATATATCGCAGCAATCTCGTGAAAAAGACAAAATTTATACACGAGGCTTCACAAGTAGCTGGTACACAAGAAAGGCTTGGCTAGCTGGATGCAAACAGGTAAATGCTGTCTTTTGTTTCCCATGCTTGGATATCACTTTATATGTAGAGAGGAGGTTTCCCATGGTTGTTAGAAGTTTATTAATAAGTGGGCATTTATCACAGAAGTGATTGTTCTGTCTCCACGTTTGTTGCATTGTCTGTGATGTATTTTCCAACGGTTATAGCTCCTGTTCTGTCCCAGCAACACTACACGGTTTGCAGCTCCACCACATTTTTGGTTTATCTTCGGTGTCGCTTAAAATCTGCTTCCCATCGGACTAAAACCTCCACGTAATCTGAAGACAGATACTTGAAGTTATTTAAACCTTTTGCAAACTTTATGTTCTTTCTTGCTCTAGCCTTGCCAGTTACATTGTACATAACACATATATTATCATTATGCTAACTGGTTGTTCGTGTTAGACGATGTAGCTTTTTCATTTCTGAGTTATTGCTATATGTAAATAAGCCTGTTTGTAAATAATCCTCAGAGAAACAAAGAAAAAACACAATTTATGACATTTTGTGCTGTGGTTATTTTTTTTAAATTGCATTTATTCACAGTTCAGTTTGAAATGCTGTAGTGACTTGTATTGAACCACTTAAATATTTATAATTAATGCTACTGAAAAGATGCTATTAATTTTATATCTCACATGCAGTTCACTGTAAAGCTACTTGGTGAAGGTGTTGGTTCATAAAACATGAACAGTTTTAAGAAAGAAAAAAACAGACCAGTTCTGAGAACACAAATTCCTGGTAAAGTAGTAGATGTTCAGGTTGATAAATAATATTTTCCACACTGAAGATTATGGAGGTATTGATCAGTCTTCTCATATTTTTAAGCCTCGATTTCTCCTTTCCCCCCCCCTCTAACATCACCAGAAGTCATCATTTAAGGGGTCATTTCTCGAAAAAAATTTCCGGGGGGAAACCCCCCGGACCCCCCGGGTAGGTCACTTACGGTACGTCAAGAGCCCCACCAAAAAAAAAGACCACCGGCCGCCACTGCCTCTTAGTTTAGTGTGTTAGCAGCATGCTAACATTTGCTATTAGCACAAAACTCAGTAAAGCTGTGCTAATGGGAATGACATATGTTTGCAGGTATTTGGTCACCATTTGGGGTTTTGGTTAGCTTAGAGTAAACCATTCATATCTACATGGTCAGCCAGGATCACAGCGAGGTTCTTTTTTTGTCATAGTAGCCCAGAAAAGACAAACAAAAGGCTGAAAGTTGAGACGGCCTTTCGAGTTTTAATGTTACCTAAATGCCACTTCAGGTTCTCATCCATTTGTAAAGGGAGAGGTGAACTAAACTCACTGCTAGACGCCACTAAACCATATCCACTGCTCCCTTAAATGTGACTAGTGACACTAAATGAAAAGTCATGGGGTCATGAAAGTCAGTAGGACATTTCTCGGGGGACCATGAATGTCTCTATAAAACAAAATGTTATATTGACATTTAGAAATGTGTGTGTCATGATAAATTGTAAGTAAAAATGAATCCCAGGGTGCCTCCCCCTATGAATTTCTTCAAAAAGAAATACAAAACAATCTGATTCTAACCTGTGGAGAAGGAAGCTGTTGAGGGACCTGTCCATTCAGCAGGGTGGTCAGTAGCGTGTCCCCACAGATGACTCTAATGTGTTTGGCCATGACGGTCTGCTGCTCCACACAGCAGTGATTCTCCAGGGACAGAATGACAGGGAAGTCAGATGCCTATCGAAAAGGAAAGAGAAGACACAATAATGGCTTTTAAATGTAATCTGTTTTCTTATTTATAGTGTAATTCTATCAGCTCCTGCAATCTCAGTGGTGAAACTACTGTATTGAATTTCCATTTAGTGCAAGTTTCACAATCCTCTAGAACAGTTTCTGCATTATATCATTCTAAAGTTGGGTAGGAAAGTTTGAGAAGGATACAATTCAGAAGAAGAGACACATGAGAAGTGTGTGGTTGTTTTCCATGTACTGTGGTTCAGTCAGCAGGGGTACAGTTGTTCCAGGGTTTGGGAGGGTTTCCAAATCCATGTTTGCTTCACACTTTTATGGGCACAACAGTACTCAACAGTTGGTTTGCTTGGCACCCAAAAAACATTTTCAATTATTTTAGTTGAGTGCAGCCATGAATACTTTGGACTTTATTAGTATTTGTTTTTCTGGGAATACACAGAACACACTTCCAACAGTTTTAATAGGAATTAACTTCTTCTGTTCCAATGCAAACGTTTCACAGTGAGGTCTTTAACTAGAAAATGTATTCTCTCAAAAAAAATTGCTATTGAATTTAATATAAAACCTGACTGGGCTGCATGGCTGAATACTTCTAGGGGTAACTGATGGAATATTATTTTTAACTGTGAAAAACCCTTTAAAATGCTCACGCTGCTCACCTTGAAGGCGTATTCCTTCAGCGTTGATATGACGTCTCTAAAAAGGATCTTGGAAGTTAAAGTGTGACCGTGATACACAACGGGTTCCCCATCACTGCCATCCCAGCAGTCAACCTCCACACACCGGCAGCCTCTCTTCAGGGCCCTACACACACACACACACACACACACACACACACACACACACACACACACACACACACACACACACACACACACACACACACACACACACACACACACACACACACACACACACACACACACACACACACACACACACACACACACACACACACACACACACACACACACACACACACACACACACACACACACGCAAGCAAACACAAACAAACACAAACACACGTGTATTAGTGTATCTCAGCTTTGTTTAAAGCAAAATCAAACCAAATGTCATTTGGACCGGACATCAAACTGACTATACCCTGCCAGCTGACTATTACAAAAACAGTGTAGTGTTGATTGATTCCATGAATGAGTTGCTCATTGTCCGAAAAGCTTTAATTAAGTGAGCCTGTGAATTCTATCTATTGCGGATGGGTTGAAATCTAGTAGTACCGACATTCAAGGTTGAAGAAGAAAGGTAATTTAGTCAAAGATGCCAAAAAACCAAGACAACGAGATTTGGGGCCTTAAATTGGCGAGGCCCTATGCAGAAAAAATCATAAAAAGACATGAAACATAGTTGTTCGTGACTAAATCATGAACGTGGTAGTGTGGCTGCTATTTAAAAAGCACCCTGTTTTGTCAGAAGGTTGCCTGTCACCCTTTGCCTAACCAAAGGGAGTATTCTCAGTAAGTGAGTAGTGTCTAAAATGGACTAGCTCATGTTGTGTGCTACATGTGTGAATGAACAAGTACATGTGAAAGGGAAACTCTGGAAAATGTCCAAAACGAATTATCTGGAGTTGATATGAGTGGCTTCTAAGTACATTAAATTCACTTCTGTAGGCTTTCTCGTGATTGTCTAACCTCTGGTTCAATGAAATCCAGTTCTAAGAGTAAACCATGTTGCATGCATGTGCAGCAGCCTCACTGGATGTATGCCTCCAGGCTGCTCTGTCCTCGCAGCTGGTCCTCCAGGAGGTAGGTGTTGTGTGAGGAGGAGATGAAGTAGTGGCTGAGCGGCTGGCTCATGTCCTGGTGAAGCTCCCGCAGCTCAGGTTTAAATATGGAGCCCTCCTGGGAGCACAGGTAGATCTGGAAGCCATCTAAGGACATGGCACCTTGCTTCTTGGCTGCACAAGAGCACAATCCAGGTTTAAATGAACTTACAAACAAATCTAAATATACTCCAAATAAAAGTTGACACAATTTTGTTGCATCAAGAAAACAAGATAACTGACTGGTGACCTCGGGAAGCGGAATAAAAAAAACATATTTGCATTACAATATAATATTACAGAAATGGTTAACCCTATTGCTCATGAAGCATTTTGAAATGAAAAAAACGGTTTGAGGTCCACCCACCGCATCCATACAATGTTAATATCAACCCTTTATCACCTGCAACCACTCTCTGGAAAAACACTGAGAGTATTAAATATTAATATCCAATAATGCATTTTTCATTTGAGTAGCTTATACATGTTGCTAATACTGCATCAATCATTTGTGACTGTATTTTAGGGGCAACTGGCCAACTCCTCTTAAACTCCAACCTGTCCTCAGAAATCATGTGGGACGTCAACGAAAAACGCAGTTCTGACAGTCACGGCCATCTTTACCTGATTCTGATGGTTCGTAGCGGTTGATCAGCTCCTGGGCATGCTGGGAACTCTTCTCTCCCTCCTGCTGCTCCATGCTCAGGAAGTTCTCCAGCTCCTCCAACATCAACTTCTCTCCATCTCCAGAGTAGTCCTGGAACACCTTCCACACCTCATCCCGCTGAGTCAGCATCTTGTAGAAATAGACAAACTGCTCGATTTCCAAAGAGCCACTGTCCGACTTGTCTGCCATCTGTGGAAATAAAAAGGCTTTAGTCATTTATTTGTTGCACCTACATGTTTTTGATTTTGTTACATGGTGTCTAGGTTTGGAAATCAAAATTCGGATTATCCATTTTCTAATTTTGATTTGAATAATGTTCTCGTCTGTGTTCATGCCTTCAGAACAGGAGAGAAAAGTGTTTGGATCCTTTGCCTGGATAAAAACTGCATTTTTTCATCTGTTAACAGAAACCTTTGGAAGGTTTCACTTTTTTTGGTCCAAAAAGTGTTTTGTTGAAATACTCATTTTGGCCATAAGAAGCTGGAGAGCTAAAAGTACTTAAAAACACAAAATATAAAAGCGCTATTGGTGCCAATTCAAAACATTTCATGTATCACAGGTAGAGGTGCACTTCAGCCTCTTGGTCAAAGTGAGTCAACACTCAATACTGAATACAACTCTTTTTTCACAGATGAACTAATAATAATAAATCATAGAAATAATTTACTGGCAAAAATATTTTTCTCACCTCGTAAACACAGGAGGAAAACCGATTTAGATCAGACTCAAAAATATATATCACCAAAAAAAAGCCACCTTAGGGAGGCAGGTTCCAGAAGAAGTAACCTTATCCAAAGAAGTTAGAAAGCTCACCGTGAAGAGATGGAAAGCATGGTCCTCATTCATTTCCACGTTCATCATCTTCAGCAGTTTCCGCACCTCTTTGAAAGTCATCTTACCATCTTTGTTTTTGTCAGCTTTCTTAAACCAGTCCCAGACCCACCTGAGAAGATGCTAAGGGAAAATAGGACGCAACAACAATTCAAGGGAGCTCTATTAAGAAACCCAATGAAAAAAACTCCAACTTTGTGAGCTAAAGATTTGCGGTTGTTTGTTTGGTGTTTGTTTTCTGGCTAATTAACATTAGAAAAGAAATAACTGCACATAAAAGCAATCACCTAGCTTTCTTATATAACTTAACCAGGCTTGATTACAGTCTGTAACTTTTATTCAAAGATCATGTCATGTAAAGTAAGGGATGATCAATACCATTTATGTTTCATCATTTTGCTTTTATGTCAATCTATTTGTTTGTCTCTAATAAAGAAAATGTCCCATTCAATGCAGTCCTTTTTTCCCTGTATGGGTCTAGCAAGACTACGTTGCCTTGTTCAGAGAAGACAGCAAATGAGCCAGTGTTGGGCACCAGATAACACCAGACTAAACTGTTAAAGATACTGTCTTATATATGATACCAAACAAAGTAATCCAGTGAAAGGATACTGGTCCAGCCTCTCCTTCTCATCCATGTTTTGAGCCTTGTGGATCAGCTTGCGCACCCCCTGGATCCAGGCCTTAGCTTCCTCTGGCGTCTCAGCCACAAGGTCCAGGTTGCCTTGGCGACCGTGAAACACCAAGGTGAAGCAGAGGTCAGCAGGGAACTCCTCGGCAGTGCTCAGCAGGACCTCCGACTGGTGGCCCTCACGCACTGCCTCCATCTCTGTGACTGAGACTGAGACATGGGGAAAGTTCAGTGTTTGGAGGATTACACTATTTCTATTGCCTAATTTGCACTGCTCATGCTTATACCCAATAACAGATCTCAGATTCAATCTAAAAGGTATATTTGTATTATAGTGATTTATTGTATTTTGTATTTCCACATATCTGTCATAATAACTTTGTATTCTTGGTCAGGAACCATTGTTGTTAGGGACTTTAAGTTCTGTTGAGCTACGTCACAGTTGGAGTTAACTTTAACGGGCCCCCGGGGCAAATACAAATGTGTGTGGCTTCCTCATAACCCAAACAATACATGGCAGCTCCATTACCCTCACAAATGCCTAGAAACAAACACGGCCTGACCCAACACTTATGTTGATTAAGCACTTAAATAAGATTAGAACACAGGGTTTCTCTACACGGGACACACGATTGAGTATTATAGGACCCATTATGGGTGATATTGTACTTTAGAGATGAAAATTAATAAATGTTTTCGCCATAAGCCAAGTGGGGCCCCTGGACGGCCCAAAGAAACAACTTTCATGTTAGTACTGTATGCTTAATATGTCGCTGAACCCTGAAGCATGGCTCTGTCTTTAGGGAACAACATGTGCCTACCTGCATGTCTTACACTTTGTATTTAACATGCTTGTTTAATTAGCACAAAAGCTAATACTGCCCTGTTGCACCTCCCATCATGGAGCTTTATGAAAGGGGTCATGGCTCATATCAAAACCAGCCGTCACACTGATCACCCTCCGATTAAAGTCCCAATCAGCTGTTAACCCCACTTTTGACACAGTAAACTAGGCTAAGCTAATCTATGAAACTGCTAGCTTCAAATACTGTACAGACTTGGGGGTGATCTGTATATCTAACTTTCTGCAAAACAACTTCCCTCGCTTGTCTTTCTCACTAATCACCTGGCCAACATCAGTAATCAGCACACCTACCTATCAATCAAGTTAGCTCCTTCTCTACTGAATCCTGCTCCAATAGCAAGTATCTGCTGGATTGTTGCCATACATGGCCAGTCCCTCTAACTCCTCCAGCCAGTTTGCCAGCTTAACCCCGGACCCCCTTTTTCCTTACAGCAACTTACGTAAGCGTGCTAATAAAGAACATCCCTTTCACCCACTTGCTTGTCCCTTTGACTGTATTTTGGTACAGCCACTGTAGCCCTAACACTTTAAGACTTGGAGAAATGATAGGACCGTGAGGTTGAGTTCCAGATTTTCCAGCAGAAAAAAGTGTTTGTATTCTGTATTTAACATGTCATTTGACCCCCACATTTCCTGGAACCCAATGCATTATAATGTGGACGTTTTATTCAGAGACTGGCCGGATCATATGAATAAAACAACAGTTAATATTTCAGTACAGTAATGCATGCTAACATGTTGAAGCACTCACAGGTGGAGTGGCCCATCCCTGCCCATCTGGACTTGTACCAGATAGTCATGCCGTCCTCCAGGAGGCGGAAATGTCGCTGCTTCTTCCATGAACGTGACTTTACTTTTCTCAGAGTCGACCCTGCCATCATGACCTTGATATGTGGGTCATCCTGGATGCCTGCACACACAGTCATGTAAAAAGTCAAAGGTAAGGATCATGTCACACCTCAGGTACTGTACTGTCATAAGGGATTCAGTTAGGATAAATAAAACTGAGCTCAACTTCTTAATAGCACATAAACCTTCAAACAGATTTCAAAATCATCACCATTTTTCTATCATCAGTCAAAGTGAATAACATTTACTTACGTGAACCTTCAGGATCCATTGCTATTCTTGAATCATGCCAATGGAAATGTGCTGCTAAAGAGAAACAGATGTCGGTGAATTGTTCCAAAGCTTTTCTCTGTTTCCAAACAATGTGGATTTTGTAAAAGCTCTAAAAGCTGGTAATTCAACTGATTCATATACTATCTCAGTACAAACAATTACAGCATATTACTAATCTCCATCTGTCCACAGAGGGTTTGCTGAGCACACTTTCAGCAACACCTGATTCAGAATGATACAGTGTCTCACAAAACTACTATCAGTACAAACATGTATTTATGTAGCACCTTTTATGCAAGAAATGCAGCACAAAATGCTTTCAAATAAGGGAAAATAGACATGTTTTGAACACTAAAGCAGGTATAGAATACCACAATTAAGTGAAAATCAAACATAGTTAAAGATTATAGCAAAATGAAACGAAAAAAGATGGGGAAAAAAACGATTAAACCTATTGAATGATACAAATAATAAAATCAGTAACCATATTTGCAGTATGCCCATTACGTCTATAAAAACTGCAGCAGCGTCAAACGGTCTCCATTATCTTCTACTCTCTTCTGTTTTCTTTTCCACATAGAGAATTGATTTTGAATACATACAACTTTTGTTTTGAGTGCACTTGACAAAGTTTCTGTTCCGCTGAATTGCCAGCTCCAGGTCTGCTTAACATGACCTCCTCTTGAGAAAGAATATATACTGGCACAATGTCCAATGATATTGTGCAGTAAAGGCTGTAAATGCCAAGGAAGGGCGAGTCAGCATTTAGGTCTTAATCCACTCACAATCAATCTTTACTCATTAGACTGAGAGGCTGGAGCATGGCAAGTCCTGCAGTCTGTGTGCTGACAAAGAAAAAAACACATTCAGCATTCTGTGCTCACCTCAGATGTATCTCATAAAATCAATAGAAGACAGATTTTTTACATTTTGATTGACCTGCACGTGATTGAATTGCAATAACTCTTGGATAATGATTTCTAATTGTGGACTTTTATTTTTGATATATGACAAAATGCTACACGAATATACCACAAAAAAAGTGAGCTTTCATGTTTTGGTTATACACAAGAGTAACATAATGTCAAACTTGTTTAGCAATGTTGACCGTGTGGCCCTATAGGGACAGTGATGTTGTTGTTTGTACCAGACTGTATATCAACCACAGGATTAACAACAATTACATTTGTTTCAGACATTCATGGTTCCCCGAGGTTATATCATAATGACTTGGGTGCTGCTGTGACTTGTAATTTAATGCATCATGAAATGTATGTTTCTGTTTTGACAAAGAAAGCCCAACAACTCCGATAATGGATGGATTGCCATTGAATGGGGTACATCCAACATTCCAAATGTAGACGATCATAACATAGCATGTATGGAATTCATCCGCAGATGCTCTGGTTAAAAATGAGACCAACAATTGTGAATCACAACAGCATCCCAAAGCAAACAGTTGTGAAGTGTAAATACAAATGTAGAAGGCTGATGGGACTTCCAAAGCGTTGTGGAGATAACATTTGTGTATTGGATAAAATGTCCGATACACAAAGCCTTGTGTGAGCATGCTTTTAAGACACGTAGAGTGGCATGATTCCAAAAACCTTCTTCAATGCAAGTTCATCGATTCTTCTTTACCTTGGTGGGCCAAAATATGATGAAAACCTAAAGCAATATGTGGGCCAGATAAAAATGTGCAAGGGAGTAACTTCAAAGGAACTACTCTGCTTAGACTGAGTTACACAAGACCATTGTTTCACGAAGTTCAAGTCAACTCCTTCCTTTGGCCAAAAATCATAAATGTGAGTGTTTTGTAAACCATCCAATCCTTTGAACCCTTACACCATCTTTTTAAAAGCCAAGAAACCCAAACAGAATGAGGCAAATGTGCTGCTTATCAGTGAAAGTGGATACACGCCTGCTATCTCTGTTGTTCACTGATAACTGTGGATAAAAGACTTCCGGAAAGGGAAGGTTTTCTAAAGTCTGTATATCTGTATTCCTGTCTGACAGCTATCCTTTCCTTTCATTGTCTCCTGAAACAACAAGATCTAACCTTGGGCCCTGAGTATTTCTAAATCCCCTGTGCCAGCCCTCCCTGGCAAGTTTAAATGAAATTAAATTGAGTTCTCACCACAGTATGACTGACATGAACCAAGGAATGCTTTCACAGTTGTTTCACAATTTAATATCACACTCCTACTGCAAAAACAGACTGACCATGAAAGCGAGAGTTATTTTCCACAGCTATTTGCTCCATGAGCCGTGAGCTTTTATGTGTTGTGCTTTCACTGCAGAGCCGCGTCTAAGACCTTTTTCTTTCACATCCAAGTTTTTCAGATCCTACTCTCAAAAGATCAACAAGCCCTCCTTCATGCATAACGTGCAGACTTCTAAGCTGCAATTAGGTCACGTTATGTTTTATTTTTGGGGCCATGCTGAAGTGTCTCCTGAGGCCAGATGAGTCACACAGGGCCACTTCTTCAGACTGACCACACACAAACACATAAAGACATGACTAATGTGCATAAAGACAGGTTGGAAAGTGGGAATGCACAGCTCAGTCATGAGCACCAACAGCTTGGTATTTTTATCTTGTGTGCTTCTACTTAAAATCAGTTTCCTTCATCACAGGAATGCTTCATTTCCTCTGTAGAGTGAGGATCTGTGTCCTCATATTTACTGCGTTTTTCCTGCACGCAATTACGTGAAGAATTCAACAAATAAGTCAGGCGGCACTGTAAGTCCTCTAAAATCCATATATAACTCCAAACTGCAAGGGGAGGGAGGATAATGCACAGTTAATTAGAACCAGAGGCAGAAATATGAGACAGAAAAGCATCCCTTCAGCAAATCCTGTCTGCAACTGCAGCTAAAACAAGAAGGACTGAGTCACATAAACTACAACTAGCTTTTGATTCATAGGGATAAAGGGTTATACTTACCAAAAGTACAGACCTCACAGGGGTGAGTCCAGAGGTGGGTCCTCTTCAGGAGACAGCTGTCCCAGGGAGGTCCTCAGATACTGAGGGGTAGGACCCTGGATGGCTGGATAAATGTAGGGGTGTGTGTACGTCACACTGGCTCCGTACACTGAGATCCAGACAGTCCAGGGGCTGTTAGCTGAGCTCAGGGTCTTAAAGACTGGGAGTGTCTGAAGGGAAATCTGGCTCTGCCTCCTCTCTCCTCCCTCTGACTGCTGCCTCCAGGAAACCTGATTCCCTAGTCACTGCTGCCGCACACTGGTACGCTCTGCTCCCCCCCCCCCCCCCCCCAAGCCTTCCTTCCTTCCCTGCCACTCCCTCACTCCGCCATCCGCAGACCCCTCTCTGCATCTGGTAAAGGGTCACTCCCCCCTGTCTGCTCCTCCTCACTCTGTCTGTGTTTCTCCCTCATCCTCCGGCTGATAGTTGATGCTCCGCTGAGGGACTGTGTATCAGCTCTGATAACGGCTAACACAATCCTGGGAAAAAGGTCTGCTGTGTCAGGGAAAGAAGCCAAGTCATAGAACAATGAGAAATAAGCTATACTCTGTTGTGCATGATAAAGACTCTTAACATTTGATATCAAAAGATTGCGTCTGAGCAGAGGCTGAGAAAGGGCTACACCGAACAACTTGGCAGTATGCCATTCTGCAGAGAAGAGACCTTATTGGTCATTGGTGGAATGTAATGTACTTTTGATGTATATGTACTTTACTTGACTATTTACATCTCAGAATTTCTTTTGACAGAATGAGTTACTTTGCTTTTTTTTTCATTAATACACAATACAAATCAACTTGATTTATCCCCATATTTACCACAAGCAAAACATTAACATACCTAGATTATAATTCAGAAATAAAACACATGAAATTACTTGCATAATTATTCATTTAACTTTTTGTACTTTAAGTATATTTTTGATGTGAGTATTCTTTACTGGAGTAAGATTTTGAGTGCAGGACCTGTACTTGTAATGGAGTATTTTTACAATGTGGTATTGTTACCTAAGCAAAATATCTGAATACTTATTTCACCCCTGTGATAGACAACTGTTTAGATGTGGTTTTTTATTACAGTGTTCACTTTAAACTATACATCTCTACTGTCTGACGTGCATTTGAAAATGCATTGATTATAGTTTAAATCTGTTTTAACATGCAAATAAATTGGAATTTCAGTGGGTGCGGATGTGGACGTCTGAATCCAAAATAGCAACATAAAAAATAAAACATCACTTTTTATCCACCTTATAATGGCTTCCCACATATAGGGAAAACGCACCAAAAAGCACCTGATACTTAGGATACTTAGGAGCATCTCCCCTGGGGAATGGAACTGCTCACAAATGCAAGGCTCGAGCGATGGAAGCTGCCCATCTCATCTCATGGGGCCTGCTAATGTACTGGTGAAAGGAAAGTAAGGTTCATTAGAGTTAGAGTGAGCACTCAGTGAGCAGGTGAGACAATTTCCCATCAGTCCGACAAAAAATGAACTAAAGATGAACTGAAGATAACTTTTACTGCACTATAGAGCTTCATACAATATTAACCAATTAAAAAGATCCTCTTGAAGCACTTTACATATAGTGACAATGACACCTCTTCAAAATACTGTTAACCTGTAGTGCAGTAAACAGACGCCCTGCAAGGAAAGTGAGAATCATTTTTCCGGTTATCAATTTTCCAAATCCTATGTATAAATAATATACATGGGAGGCGTGTGGCGCAGTGGGTTAATGCGCTGATCTTCGAATCAGAGGATAGCAAGCTCGAGTCCCACTGCAGTCAGCATGTCGTTGTGTCCCTGAGACACTTCACCCCACATTGCTCCTGTGGGGATTGTCCACAGTATTGAGAATGTAAGTCACTTTGGATAAAAGCGTCTAACAAGTACATGTAATGTAATATCATTTTTTCTCCCATGTTTTGCTAAGACTTTACAGGTACAAAGGTTAGGGTTAGTTTTGCCAGTCGCATGTTTTTTTTTTAACCATTTAAATCTTTCTTTGTCCTTTTTGTGGAAGAAAATATTTTCTCGGGTGATTTGCTTTTTGTGTTTGTTGTAATACCTACTTTGGCCTCAAGAAACAGAAACATTGTCCTTGCAGCCAGTTCACTAATGTTTTTTTGTCATTTTAAATCTACGGCGGCTGACATTTGCAAACTCACTAGAACAGCCCAAACGCTTGTCGACGTTCGTGGATTTATAAAGTTGGCCAACTTTCACTGTTGTTGGAAACTTACCATAAATGTTAGTTTTAGTACATCACTTTTCGGTGTCCCCATTTCTGTTTTGTATATGCATCGCTTTTAGTAAACACTGCGCATGTTTTGTAAAGTTGGTTAATGTTTTCTGTGGTGATGTTTCTTCATTTGCATGCGTTTTGGCTCACATGTGTTTTAATATTTGCATTTTTTTTTAAACTGGAGCGGGTTTCTCCAAATGGAAATGTTTAGGGCGCGTTTGCACCCGTCGGCCACCGTAAAAATCAACTAAAAAAAGATTATCCTGACAAAATCTCTCTTTACACTGAAATACAGCTGGGACAATCGATTAGTTAATGGACAGAACCTCCTAGGATGTGTGAAAAACTGTTTATTTATGAAATATCTTCACCAGCTTCAACTCCATTTATGTATTACCGAGTCAACATACTTAAAGCCCTTAAAAATAATATACAGAAATACTTCTTCCGTTCTACAGTAATATCAGCTGACAGAGGCTTAGCAAAATAAGATTAAAAAGTCTGACTTGAAATTCAAAAACGAACAGTTCCAACTTTGAAAAGGAAGGTAACAAAAAGTTACAGAACTAACCGGGAAAAAACAAGAGCTGACCGATATTTTGCAAAACACTTTTTATTGCCGATAATGCAATAATACAGCAATATCAGCAATAAATGTATAAAGGATGCATTTTAATGTACATGTAGCACATATTTGTTTTCTAATTTACATTTTAATGGATTTTTCCGTTGTTATTTATAGTTAATTATAATTTCTAGTGAAATTTACTGTTAAAAAATTCCTTCAATGTTTATAAAAATAACTAATTTAGAAATGTTTTCCTTTTGGATTTTGCCCCAAAAATTAAACTAATAAACAGTCAACATATTATTACTGGATTGAATTTATTAGAAAATATCAGTTATCAGTATTGGCCTTAAAAATCTGCGATCAGACAAGCTCTTAAAAAACAGATTTTTATTGTGTGGAAGTGACATACTGGCAGAAAATAAAGGTGTAAATGATCTATCCAAACATTCCTCTATTATGTCCTTCTCTTTGCAGACAGTCTGAGTGCCACTTTGGCAAAAATTACAAAATCTAGAGAGGGATGAGTCTGTGTAAGCAGTAAACACACACTTTGTTCCTCATCACTGGGGGGCCAGTGGGATGCCTCTGGCGTCGGTGACCTGGCCCTCCTGCAGGTTCTTCACCAGCTGAGCCAGCCAGCGCTTGGTGGTGGTGTCATCCTTCAGAACCTGGGCGAAGGTGCTGTCCTTCAGCTGGTCGGGCAGACACTGACGCAGAGCCTCTCTGGCTCTGAGGAACAAACACAGCAGAAAATAATGTACACTTCTGTAAACAACCGCTTGCGCTAAAAAAAAAAAAAAAGCTTCTCCACTTGGTGGCACCAAAGCGAGAGGCAGTGGTGGAAAGTCACAAGTACATTGCCTCAAAAACTGTACAGAAGCATAACTTTGAGGTAAATCATGCTTGAGTTCCTTCCTGTCTGAACTGATTATTTTCACTTTATGCTACTTTATACTTCTATTGTAAGTACTTTTACTTATGATACTTTAGGAATATGTCGATGCCAATACTTTTAACATCATATTATAGCAAGATTACATACACCTCAGATACGTTTCTGCTATTTATAAAGGTTCTCCTGATAATCATCACGGACTAATATTTGTGACCTGCTCTATCGAAATCAGTCGCATTGACCCGAAGACACATTTTGAGTTGTATACACTGTTGGAAAGAGGAGATTCCCAGCTTTCTAATGATATCAGGATTGTTTTTGTACTCCAAATATTAAGCTAAATATGTCACATTATATAATGACTGTCACAGAGTCATCATTTTGAGAAAAAGGCCTTCAAAGTTTCCTCTTCTCTGGAATCCATCGATCTGATTGATTATTAGCGGAGCAAATGATCAAAATAGTCCGGAGGGAAAATATTTCCGTTTGGATTACTGGTCTGGGGGAAGCTCGCGAGTGTGTGTGTGTGTGTGTGTGTTTGTGTAATTTTGCGTTTGTGTGCATTGTGAGAAACACCGGCTGTTGTTATGCCTGCTGTGACGTCAAGTTACTCCGTTCTCCGCTTGTAAATATGCCGTCACAAGCTTCATAGTTGTATTTATCATCTGAATTTGCCGAAACAAGTTTAATATTCTGAAAGCCAAGACTTTGTTTAATTGAAATCAGATGAAAACAACCTGCCGTGTTATCTATGATTACTATATGCCTTACATTCATAATTTCAGCCGGAGGGAGGGGGTGCGGCGCTGAGGAAGAGCAGATTGCGCGTGAGAGGTGCCTGTCATCTTCCCTTCACAAGCTTCAAACATGTATTTATCGTGTGATTTTGGAAATAAAAGTTTCATATTCTGAAAGCCAACACTTTGTTTATTTAAAATCAAACAAAACACCCGAACCCCGAAAAAATAGTTTTTTACGCAAACCCACGTTTATTTTGAAATGAGCCGTTGCGACTTCCGACTGATTTCGATAGAGCGGGTCACATATGTTACGAGTACAACCATTTTTCTGCAATATGCTTTCCTGATATGCATTATAGCTATAATGTGCTGTATTTGATCTATCTGGTGGGTCGACAAAATATTGGTAGATTTAAAAAAAATCTGCAGAGCTTTCCCGCAGGACAAGCAGAATCCCATGCTGTCTGTCATATACGGTGGAGAAGAGCTGCAATCAAAGCAAAATCCACAGCAATACAAAATAAAGAATACATCGTAGGGCCATTCACATCAGGATGCCACCACCTATTTTTAAGAAATCCAAAGAAAATATAATTGTCATAATAGCAGTTAATGTATTTCCTTACCTTTATCTAATAAAAATATGTGTGCAAACATTAAGTTCTGATCACAGGCTGCTCATGCATTAAACGACAGTCAGCGCACACATTTGTGTAATGGCTCCTCCTAGTGGCAAGTACTGATGGTCACATTTTTGTTCTATTCTCAACCCTGTCTCCAGAGTGGGGAGGGACTGGTCATGTCTTTATACAAATCTCCATGCAATCAAGAGCCACAGTTTAAACAGGTGGCCCCAGACTGTACATCTGTAAAACACTGCTTTACCTGAGATTGTCTGAGAGGCGAAGGTAGCAGCGGACAACGTGCTTCAGCAGGCGTGCGGAGGGCTCCTTAGAGAGCTGGAGAACCATTTTGCCCTGCAAAGAAGAACATGAAATATTAATATACAATATTGTGACAATTGATGCCAAGTGTCACACCTTGCAGAGAGACTTGGAAGGTCAATCTCATCAGTAGGTTTCCCAAAGACTACTTACAAGGATCATGGCCACATGTGAGAAACGTTCGTATGTCTGGCATATATAAGCAAGTCCTGTGTCGTCCAATAGGATCTTCTGCAGTATAAAAGTAGCAACCTGAAAAACAAAATGAAGTCAAAAACACAGAGCAATCAGCAGAAAAAGATGGCCAGGAAGTACAACCTAAAGGGAAGACAGTATGGGCTCTTCCAGTGTTTAAATAGTTGCTGCAGTTCTAGCTGTTGCTATGCAGTATAAAGGACTACTTTTTCTTTGTGGAAGCAATACAGGAATTTATGGATAAATAAAATCCTTTTTAAATCAATATTTTGAGTCAAACTGTTGATGTACAGTATTTAGTGAGTAGTTAGTAATAGCGGGATAATGTGCAGCGAGCTGGTCATTAATGAGAAAAGAAGCCCGACAGTGAGCAGGATCCCGACAGGAGGCACATTATCCCTTACGTATCTTAGTAAGAATCAAGTATGAGAGGTAGATCTTTAGTGCGGAATTGAACCGCTAAACTTTAGAAATTCTTGTGGCACCTGCTTATTCAACAGTTTGCGCTGCTTATGCATCACTACAGCCTTTTTTGTTATCCGCCTGTCGATTGGGCAGAAATGTCAACTTTTTAAACCTTAAGCCCATATTAACATCTGTCCCTAAAAAAAATAAAAAAAAGACTACTGCACTTAATCAGTTGTAATGAAAAGCAGCAGGTTGGAAAAAGTGACTGGTCTTAATAAATAAAAAATGAAATATTGGCATTTGATTGGTAAAAAGTGTAGCCGATAGAGAAAATGTTGTGGTTGGACACAGATTGAATTAAATGTGAGACAGGACTGCATGATAAGTTACTGGAAGAGTTCAGTACCGTCTTGGAGAGCTCGCTCCCTGACTCCATGATGCGGAGACACAGCGGGATGATTTCAGTGGTGAGGAGGAAGTTTATCACTTCTTGTTCATCGGTTTTCACCAAGGCACCTGTGGAAAACACGCAAAGACAGCTTGATGTGACACCGTTTTTTGTTTTTTGAAATCAAGAAATAAAGACACTTGAGCAGGAGTAGAGTTTACCTATGACTCCGAGGCTGGTGAGTCGCAGATACTCAAACGGACGTGTTTTGCTCACAGTGTGCAGGAAAGGGTAGAGGAAAAGAGGGATGTGGGCAGCAAGAAAAGCTGACCTGGAGGAACACAGAAGGAAAAGGATTTGAATCAATGTGAGCAGACAAACACAAATACACAGCAAATATCACACAGAAGCAACAAGGTCACTTTAATAACTTATGGATTTTAATGACATTACAAGCAATTACCTTCACAAAGAAAATGTATTAAAGTCCAAGTTCTTCATTGTTAGACATACTCTTTCATCTACACATTTAAAATGAGTCAAAAGTCATGCCTGATAGAATCATCAGCTGTGAGTAGGCCTGTCGCGATAAGCAATTAATTGACTTATCGTACGATAAATAAAAATGAACTCGATAACTTTTCTGACCTCGAAAAATTGCCGTTTACATGCGTGTTTGTTTACATAAAGATGTGACCGGCCACTCTACCGGCCCGGCGCGCTGTGTCTGCTGGCCAGGCGCGCTGTGAGGGGCGGGGCTCAAAAACAGCCAGGTCAGGACACTCCGCGTGCAACAGCGTAGCAGCCAAATTAATAATATAGAGACAAGCAGGAGACAACGTGTGACATACTCGAGGGGAATTTGAAGTTAAATGGAATTGGTTGCAAAACCTAATACCACATCTCCGGTGTGGGAATATTTTGGATTTAAGCCAAATCAACGAGGAGAACCTACGGACTTGAATGAGCCGGTATGTCGCATTTGTTTTAAAAAGGTAGCAACAAAAGCTAGCAATACGACCAACCTTAAACTGCATCTGAAACACAACCTACCCATTCCGTTTTCCCAGCTGGGAGCAAACACGGCAGCAGGAGATGGAGAGCCCCCACCTTCCCGACAGTTTACAATCAAAGATGCATTTGCCCGACAATGCAAACATGTTGGTGTTCCTTGCTCGAAATCTTTGAAATACAGATTTGGATATGGCCTGTTGAGGCCTCTGGGTCTTTGTATGGACAGTGGACTGTTGTTTTAAAAGGAGTTTTTTTGTGCCTGTGAGACAATGTGTGCTCTTATTTATTTATATATATATATATATATATATATATATATATATATATATATATATATATATATATATATATATATATATATATATATATATATATATATATATATATAGAGAGAGCTCTGTTTTCCAGCCTGAGTCTATTTCATTTATTGTTTAGGTTGTGTGTGATTTAATTAGTTCTATAATTTTATTTATTTATTATATATAATTTATATATTTGAATATTATTTCACATTTCATTTGCAATGTTGAATGTTCAATAAAAAGTTCTGTTTGAAAGGATGTACTTGAATTATTATTATTATCATTATGTCAGTGGTCTAAAATGGTCTTACAACGGTGACGACAATATTATCGTTTATCGCAATAATTTCCGGGAAAATGTATCGTCCAACAAAATGAATTATCGTGACAGGCCTAGCTGTGAGGCATTAACTTTAAAAGCCACTAAATGTAAGAGCCATTGGCAAAACAGTTGAATTTCCTCTGAATTTCATTTGAGTATGAAATCATGGTTTTGGACTATGCTTAGGTTAAGGTTTTAATTGTTTACGACAGAGATGTATGCAGTCAAGCAGACTCTACTGTGCATGTCAAAGAGTCTAAATGGCGTAAAGCCAGTAGGATGCATGGATCGTTTTTGACCGTGTGATAACATGTGATCGTGAAAACGTGTTGAACTGTGTTAAGTCTAGTCGTGTATTTGTTTTAATTAATTAAATGTCTTCAAGTCGGCAGTGGACCGTCAAGATGCCCAGGGGCCTCATTTATAAACGGTGCGTACGCTCAAAAGATGGCGTACGCCAGTTTCTAAGCAATGTTTGGGATTTATAAAAAACAAACTTGACGGGAAAATGTGCGGTCCTCCACGCAAACTCTGACCCATGCGTACGTACAAAAACGGGAGAGACGAGAAACTGCGACATCGTTGGCAGAAGGAAGAATGGAGAGAAATATGTGGAAATAATACCATAAATAAAACGTTACCTCATGTATCATATATGAAGATTAAATTGATGATTAAACAAACGCCTGTTTGAGACTCCTCAGTGCACAAAAACGTAACTTGGAGAAATAAATGATGTTATTGAAAACCACCTCGAATATGTTGTCTTAATGTTATGACATGTATTCTCATAAATGATGCAGTATGCAGAATTACTTTAAACTGAGGCCGTTTTGCTTTTCTATAGGTTGTATAGATACGAGCATGGTTTTATATACTATCATGTTTAATCATGTTTTATGCCGTTTGCTAAGACTGGAGAAGTCGCTCATAAAACACAGGAGGTATGGAAACTAAGAACACCATATATTTGGTAGATTTGGCAGCTGATATAACTCAACACATTTGTTTTATTTCATTTAACTGGTGGATATAGAGTTGCTGCGGGGGGGTTGAGACGCACAGGCTGCAGTGGAGACGCTGCGCACAGCTGATCGACAGCTGGAACACAAACCACTAAATAAAAAAATAAACATGAATTGACTCCACTCCGCAGGGATCCCCCGATACTTTCTTACAGTTTCTCATCATGGGGGGGGTCTCCTGTCCCCGGCACAAACACACTGACACACTGCCTGTGGAAGGTTATGTGTATTTTGTCATTAACTTTTTTTCGGACCACTTATTTATTTATTTTTGTGAAAAATGATCCGACCTCCATGCTGCTACTCTGGTTCAAAGTGCATCCACCAAACAATGCGATTTGTCTCCACCTTCCCAAAAGAACCAAAATCTGACACGGTGTGAAATGTCTTTTTTAGCTGTGCTGTCGTCATTTCCTGCGATCTTCTTCATGCAGTCAGTCAAAATGAATATTAATACGGGGCGTTTCTTTGACTATTTATAGGCAAATATGGGCGTTACGTGAAGCCCTCAAAAGCTGCGCCGCATTTAGAGTTGATTGTGATTTATAAAAGGGAAACGCAGTGTTTTATAAATCGGAAAATGTCTGTGCGTATTTATTTGCTTTGTCCTACGTAAGCAACCTTCACGTGAATCCTACGCAAGGCTTTATAAATGAGGCCCCTGGTGATTTTGGATACTGTGATTTAGTTTAAATAAACCATCAAGACGTACCCGTCTTCCATGACTACATTAGGTCTTCACTAAAGGTTTGAACTTTTGAAACACAATTCAGAAAGAAAATCTCTTTGCAGACTAAGTTGCCTAAGAAATATAACCTTGGATAAAACAGCTACTAGACTAAATATTTATACCCTCATATTAAACATTCAACTCTCACTGAAATTGTTTGCCAGTGAATATTTGACAGTGTTCTGTATAATAATATGAATTAAAAAAATTTTGCGCTTTTCATGTACCCAAGGACACTTATAGATGATAGCATTTGAAGAGAGTTTGCCAAAATTGTGAGCAAATTGTGTCACGGTATTAAACCAAATGTCCCGGTCCTATAGTTTAAGTAGCATTACAAAAACTTTTTTCCGCTATAATAGTGGGGCATATATGCATTGTCTTTAACACAGGAAAACCCGCTTAAAATAGAAAAAAGAGAATTTTCCCTGTGCCAGAAGGCAAGTATCTCTTTTTCTCTGCACCAGCAGTAGGTGAAGAGTGAACATGTTATGCGTGTTCGTTTTTTTGTTTCCGTTACTTATTTAGTCTCTTTTTTAAATGTTCAAAGACAGAGTTATTGATTGTTGAAAAATTCAAAAATGTTAAGGAGTTTTATTTCTGTTTTCATGGCAACGATTAGCGAAAGAAAACTATACTGTTCTGGAGTCAGGTGGCTTTGAGAATTCGTTGTTCTTTGATAATTATAAAAAATGTTCAAACCCCTGTTGTTATATCACCGTGCGCCAGATAGCATCACATTGGAATGAACAGGTCCGCTACAGACAAATCATACTGTGACTACCGCAGAGTCATGTCTCCCAGGAATAAAGGCAGATTGTTACCTTTAACCTGATTTTCCCCTAGGATTAATAAAGTATATTCAATTGATTGATATCCAATGAAGACAGAAGCCATAGGTTAGTGGGTTATTTTGTCCAGTGGGAAAGGAAAGCTTCCTGTCTTCATCAGCATTAAAAGAAACAAATTAGTTACACAGCAATTTTTTATCTAATTAGCTTCCCATTACCTTGTCTCGGGGTGTGAGGCAACACACTGCAGAAGTGCCAGGGCATTGCACACCCTGTTGGACTGGTGAGCTGTAAGCGTAGGTGGGTTTATAGATGGATAGATGTTCACTATTTCCTAATAAAGAGAAAGAAAAAGACGAGGTACAAAATCAGTTAAACGTTCATCAAGGCCACACAACAGCAGATATAATGAACATCAGAATCAGAATCAGAATACCTTTATTCGCCCCACAGAGCGTACATTTACATACAGGTGTAATGACTAATGAGATACTACAGCTTGGGTTGGGATATGGTTCATACCTGCAGCAGGGCAGCAATAGTGCCACAGGAGTGCCAGAGCATCGGTGCCAGGTCTGGCACAGACTCTCGCTTCTTGCTAAGCTCCAGCAAGGCATTTTCTCTGGTCTCTGGACTGGACAACTCATTGATCCATTGGTAGATCTTCTCCCGGTCTACCTGGGCCAGGGCTGTGACGTTAGTTACAGCCTGTAAGGGGAAGGGTAGATATTCAGCAAGTGCATCCATCATCGACAAATGAATTAAGCCTTGGAAACATACTGTGTATCAATGTGATACCATTAGTAAAGACACTTACAACACATATCATATGTATAATATATGTGGGCCCATCCACAATAAGGCACCACATTATTGCTATGAAAATATATAAAAATGTGTCTGATTTTGTGAGTGTTTATTGGGAAGTTTTACTGAGATGTTATTGCAAACTTTGCAGCCAAACATTGTTCAAAGCCACAAACCTTTATTTTCCGCTCTGATTGTGATCCCTATATTTTTAAATATACTAAATGTGTCGGACTGATTTTGGGGAAATACAGATAAATAAATATAAGCCATCTAGATGAATATCTACAATGGCTGAAACGGAGTAACGTTAACCATACAAAAATTGAGTCTTAGAATGAATGCACATATTTTACTCAGTGTAAAGACTGTAAACACAATGTGTATGTATAATAATGTCAGAAATTATTTGTCAAGATGCTATTAACAATCAAAGCCCCATAACAAAAGGGGGATGAGTGTTAAGACGGTTGATAGCTTTCTGTAACGTTATAATGAAATTAGATACTCACAGCTCCCGTGGCCAGCATTCTCTGAAGCTCTTTGTGGTCCAACCGTGTTGTTAAACTACTGCTTCAGCTAACGTGTTGTGTATTGCCAAACTAATGTGGCAGCAATGAAACAAATTTGACGTAATTAACACAAAGTAATGGCAGCTAGCCCAAGCTAGCTGCTAGCGTCAACGTCTTGACAAATGGAATCCTGTAGTTCCGCGCGCACATCAACGTTACAAGCAACGTAACTTCATTGCGGTAACAAAACGTTAATATTTTTGATAATTCTTGATAGAAACCAGCCTCGAGAGTTCAAATTTGAACGTTATTGTACAATAAACATAATCCAATGGCGAGTTTTTTTGCGGGCAATGGTGGCAACCTAAATACATATAATTAAGATATCGCGAGAGCACAGTCGGACCGGATCGGACGCACTCTCGGTTATCATTTCCGTTGTAAATGTTCACATTCCCGCCATCATCGCGCAGTATTGCGAGGCGTCGTGTGCGGGTCCACTGTCAACAACATACATACTGGGAGCAGGTGAATGCCGGCAAAACAAACTTTCTGCTCTCGGAGGACCTACGACAACGATACTGTGAGATAAAAGTTTCTAGAAGAAAACACATAATTGACAGGTAACGAACAGCGCAGGTTTAACCAAAGGGTGACACTGTTTTCATCCCCAAATTACAATCAGGCAAATTAGCCAGTTAGCTAGTTCCCGCTAGCCTGCTAGCCGACTAGCTAATGTTGGCCTCCCCCATCCATTCAGCGTCTATAGATGCGGGGACGACAGCTACATCCCAGACATTCGGCTTGGCTGTAATGTCACCCTAGGTGCTTCTTTGTAACTTTGTCCGGTAGCTCAATTGTATGACGTTTATTATTGTAATAATTGTGTCAACCAAGAAAATAGTAATGAGTGCCGGTCGCAGTGTCGTGCATCTTCGCTTTGCTGGGCTAGTTTGAAGGCTAATGCATACAGCTGCATTGACTCTTACTGAAACCGCTAGCCAGCTAACATAAGTGGTGTGAGTTTTCCCACTTTGTGAGACATTCACCCCTGTGAGTTAAATATTTGCCGTGAGTTTATCATCTGTGTTAATATGAGCTGTTCAGCTGTTGTGCTAACGGTATGTGTCTTGTGGTCGACTTAAGTTTGTTGTGACTTTCAACAAGCGCTCAGTTGTACAACGTTGGCCATAGCGGGCTAGCTTGGATGCATTATAAATAGTTTATTAGCTGATGAACATATGTATACGTAACACAAGTTTTTTAACAACAGGTGCAATAAAAGTGCTTAAGATGTATCTAAATCAGGTATGGTTTATCATTGAGTTCTTGCCTCCTTTTTTAAAGAAATGGATGGAATAATAACGGTTTTATAGTGGCAAGGTGGTTAAAACATGTCCCTTTAATACTCCACTCTATATAAACATGAACTGTGAGATGGGTAATATATGACACAATGTGGTTGAATAAACTAATTTAATTGGATTTCCTTCTTGTTTTAGGATTTGTTTGGTTACAAGTCCAAGCCTCCAAAGTGCACCAACTGGATAGTAAGCCATGTCAACCATAGTGCCCAAACTCTCCAGCGGTGGCGCCAGTGTGAAGATCCGCCTTACCAGCCTTGATCTGGGCACCACCAGATGGAAAGAGGGAGCTTTTGAGATTCTGGAAAAGGACAACAAAATCAACCTATGTCTAAGATTTAACTGTGGTGGAGCCTCCAAAACTTTCCAGGTATTATTCAAACTCTGTTCTTGGTGGTTATTCAAAAATGACAACGGCAAATGACTTAAACATAACGTTAGATTCTGAAGGAGTACCCTTTCTTAAATGTTTCAATGTTATTTTTTGAGATACAGCGCTATCCAGACATCTGTCTCACCTGTAGAAATGTCATCAGAGCAGTAATGGATGAATCTCCCTTCAACCACTTATCAAAAGACTTTGGAAAAACAGTTGATATGGTAGCTGTTGAAGAGAAGCTTGTATAGCAAGCAATAACATACCACCTTACTCTCTGCCTGTTCCTTAACTCTGCCGTTATTTACTTTGTCAATCTCAATGTTTTTAACATTTGTATCAGCAATACTGTAAAATGTCCAGGAATGGAAGGTACAATTTAAGTTAGGAACGCAATACAAAGACTACATTTCCCACATATACATAAGAATTTCCACCAACATTTAGAGATATATTTTAGTCTGGACTTTTGACAGTCATGGGGAAGGACTTATACATTTTAAGAAATGACAGTCATAAAGGGAAACACTTGCACATAAGTGAACCAAAACATGACTTAGTTAACTTAGTGTTTAGACTTAGTTTTTGTCTGGCTAATAAGTGCTGCAATTTGCACAGAAATCCAAATACACTTTGAAAAATGCTAATTTTGGATGAGAAATTTAAAGTAAACAAATGGCTCGGAGGAAACATTTTTATTAAGTAGAATATAAGTAAACTGTTAAATGCATGGATAAAACCATGTACATTACTTTCAGCATAACACTAATGGGCTCCTAAAGTATGCAGTTATTATTAATTGGAAAACATACTAATTGAATAAAACTACAACCAACGTATCTTGTATTGTTTTCTTAGCTGAACCAGAACTTGAAGACCGTTAGCCAGAACCTGAACCGTATCATGCTGACTTTGAAGGACAACAGTGTCATCATCCTGGATAAGATTCCTCCGACTTTGCTTCAGAAGACTAAAGAATTTTTGGACAAACTGAAGACTGGAAAGCCAGGTAATTACGCCACTGCTCATTTTCTTTTTGTTCAAAGAAAACCAGGGCTCACGGATTCCTTCATTTTCTTATTTTGAGCTTCCGCTATTCGTGGTTCTGTCGTTACTTCTAAGCACAACACGCACACTTAATGGCAATTATTTGCTTTGTAGACTCCCATGGGCCAATCGTCATAATACATCAGATTTCAGTTGCAGATGTTTTTCTGCTTTTTTGTGCCGACTAAATGCTTTGTTTTACGGTGGTTGAACTCAATATTTTGAAGCAATTCAAATCAATTGCAATCTTACTCAATAGGTTTCTATACTGTAAACTTTTTTTTGCCACTGTAAAAAAGCCATGCACAAAACTGGACTACAAAAGAGAATACTAAGTATTGTTTCAGTTTGACCTTAACTCAGCCTTAGATAAAGAATGGCCGGATTAGATACCTTATTGAAAAAGGTTTATCCTGTTGCATTTCATTCTGATGACGTTTGTCCTGTTCCTTCTGCTGCTGCTACTGTGTAGTCTCAGCTTACATTTTGATTCTCGCTTTGTTCTTAAAGAAAATGGGTAAGTCTAAGGTTAAAAGGAAACGGCACTGATCTTCTCTGAGTGTATCTAGCGCCAATTTCTAAAAAAGAACCTTTTTATTATTTATGTATTGTATTCAGAATTTAATTTGAGAAAATCATCATACATACTGGCCTGGTGTGGACTTTATTTTTGGACACGTACACACAGTTTTTCAAACTTTTCAACAACTTTTCAAATTGAAATGAGCACACAGTAAGTCAGGACTAATATCAATGGTGTAGTTACAGGTTGTACAAGCGTATAAATACAATGTAATTGCTACTTAATTGATCAAGTTATCATTTCATTTCCATGCTTTGTCCTGAGCGGCCATTTTTCCTTCTTCATTTTGCAGTTTTAAAATCGTCCCACGGAAGCGCAAACCTCAGTGTGCTGGGAAACCGCTCTTTGAAAAATGACAGTAATCCTTCGGGGGAGAGACAGGTAAGCTAGAAAACAAAACCACACTTAAACTTTGAATTTAGACATTGTACCCTTATAAGATTCCTAACGTCTTCCAGACAACCCAGAGGCGTCAGAGTACAGAAGGCAGAGAGGAGACGACGCCACGGAAACCCCTGGGCAGCCCGAGCAGAGCCACCTCCACTCCCACCCGCACGGGACTCTCTGAGAACAGGTAGGATGGAAATTCATATTGCTCTTTATGGCAAGTTGTGTTTTGTTAACAATTTGTATATTTTTTTTTAAAGCAGCCAAATACAAGGCTGTGTGTGCTCTATCCTCATTGGAGACAATTTTAAAGGGTGCTTTTTGGACACTGGCCTTTAAACTGAGAGTCTTTCTTAATGCAGACTTCAAAACATCCCATTTTGTAGTTGTTATGTTTCTCAGTTACTCAGTTAAGTCATGCTCAGTTCATGCTTGTGACATAAATTGTTGCTTGTCACTGTTTTTCAGGAGTGAGAAAAGAAAGAGACTCATCACCTCTGAAAGTGACCTGACTGAAGACTACCCCAAGGAAAATGACTCGTCGAGGTAATCGCAACATCACTGCCCACATTGAGCTGCAGGGCTTGTTGGGATACACATGAATCCACCTGACTTCTGTAGCTTTTTGTCAGATATGGTATCTATGTTTTTTTTTTTTTCTCATCAGACGGTTACAAGAATTTAAATATGTGCCGTGTTGTAATTAGTTTTATATCCGTATATTATTTTGCTCGTTTGCTAAACAGAAACCTTAAGGTTGTTGATCAAAATGCATAGAAATGTTTGGTAACTTCCAAACATTTTTTAGCAACAACAAGGCCACTTCGGATCCATCCAGGAAGTTTCTACTGAGCTGCAAAGACAAGCTGAAGCAGTCTGAGGAGAACAGGAGCTCAGGTAAACTTCTACAGCAACACTGTCTATAAACTGCTGCTTAGGACCTCACTGTACACTAACTTTCAGTGGTGCAGTGATGACCTCCTTTTGTAGGCGTGGTGGGTTGTCCGTAGGTGTTCGGATCAGGGGGTCACAGGTTCAAACCCCACTGCAGTCAGCATGTCGTTGTGTCCCTGAGACACTTCACCCCAAATTGCTCCTGTGGGGATTGTCCACAGTATTGAGTATGTAAGTCGCTTTGGATAAAAGCGTCTAACAAGTAACATGTAATGTAATGTAATGTAGGCCACCCAAAAGTTAGCATTGCAAGGGCTACCTCGACAAAAAGCAATGGGAATTTTTCCATTGGAATATTGTAGAAAACAAGATCTTTGACAAACACACGTTTAAGATTCTACCACATTTTTTTCAGTAGGAATATCACCACATGCAATGCATTGCCAAAAGTAAATGTCTAACTTAAGGCTATAAACAAACTGAGTTGGTCAAATGCTAACTGTTCCGCGTTTTAAGACTCATTTCTGCACCACTCTATTTACCTTTTTCTAAACCTATTCATTCAGACCCAAACTTTTGGTCTTTGACTTTACTTTCAATCACTCCTTTATTCCTCACCGACAGCTTCACTGAGTTCAACTCCCCTTCAGCCAACGTCATTTTACGGCAGCCGATCTGTGACTAAAGACTACAGCCAGAGC